AAGGCTGAGTCTAGCCCCTTAATTTCCTGGTAAGGATGACACTGGAAGTCAAACCGCCGTGGGATCCTGGCTTCTACCTGGAAGATCTTCTGGTCAAGCACTAATCACATCCAACCTTGCTTATCCTGGGAAATCAGCAAAACCAGAGCAACAACAGAATATTGCCAGAGGATTTTTCTGTTCAGTTCATTTTCACTGATGTTTAACCTCCTTGAGGAAAGTTTTTGACATGAGAGCTTTAGACAGTTTTCCACATGAAGGTTTTTTTTCTCCGGTAGCTAGATGGGCTAAGACGCCTTTTTGGTCTATTTCTTTTTATTTGGTTTGGGATTAGGACTCTCCTTTCTATGTATGTTCTGGTTTGTAAAGTCAGATTAGCTTATTTTTTCCCCTCCAGGAATAAAACAACTTTACAATCAAAATCCAAAATGACAAAAGCTGAATTTGCTGCTTTTTAAACAGACATCTGCTCACAATGTGTAAACCAATAAATAAAATTGCTTCAGGTTAGTTACGTGTTGTTCACAGGGAAACGTATCTTAATTTCATCACATGTAAAATACAGCTAATGAGTTGCATACCAAATAAATTAAGAAATAAGCTAGCTTTTGTCTTTGCATTGTTAGTATACAACCTGGGTATGTTTTAATGAGATTTTTCAAAGTTCCTAGCCAGGGTTACATTTGTCATTAATATTCTGCTGCAGTAGTTGTATACTAAGCATATTTTTCTCTTGACAGGCTATAAAGAACACACTATTCATGAATATTTAGGTAATAATTTTGATGTATTGTCATTTGCATATAGGCTGGTGGAATTGTAACCAATTGCTGGACAATCTCAGAAAACTATTTGTTGTATAAGTGTATTCATACATCATTCAAAGCAATTAGTGTGCTGGGAGAGGATTTCCAGAAAAAATCGAATCACTTTTTTTCTACTTTCTCCTCAACTATTTAGGTAGTGTTTCTTCTTTCTCTTAGCACAAAATTTCTATAATCAATTGAATCCCTAGGGTCCAAAAGATCCAAAACATACCCAAAGGGTTTGAATAGCTACCTCGGAAGGAGTATTTTTAACACAGTCTGCATTTGCTTTGTGGCGACCACAAGGAGCCTGGTTTTGGAGCAGGACTCACAGTGACAGGGCTGGCTGCACAGCCTCACATGTTCTAGGATGTAAATCTGCAATTTTCGCTATCAAGTACAGCGATAAAACAACTTTCCCTTCTGTTATTTAAAAAATAGTAAGAAAGTGATGACCAGACAGAGGTCTTTAAGATAAACAAACACAGATGTCTATCTAAACTCCTTTCTCCCGAAGGTAACCCAGGAAGCCCACTTGTGGGTTTGTCCAGCTCTCTAAGACAACTCCCCCCAGGCTCGGTTGTGTGTTCCTTTACAAAACCAGCTAGAATTCTTTTGACTGCGTGTGTTACTGAGCTTTTTCCCGAGCTGGCTTAATTCTGTAAGAAAGAGCTTGGAAGTATTTGTGGAGATGTGGCTTATCTTAACCGTTCCTTCCCCTTCCTGCTTGTCTTTCCTGACAGCGCCCGTTAAGCTGTACAACCTATTCAAATGTAAACATCCTACTAGCCATGTCAACATAGTATACTCATGAATTACTGAGCAGTTCCAAAATCAGCACAGCAGGAGACTGGGAAGGTCATTTTGTACAAGATGAGAACAGAGGCAGGCCTGTAAGCTCCACAAAACATAAATCTAATTTTTTCCTACTTAAAATTAAATGAGCTTTGTTGTAATTTATTCAATGTTCTCACTCTATCGCTAACCATATATTACTACTATATTAGGCTAACATTCTTTCATGTCTATTAGATAACATCCTTTTAAATCTAGTAGATGCTTTTACTTAGTGATTTTCAAGAAATAAAATTAATTCATTGTATTAAGATCCAAATTTTCAGAATTTATAGAGAAACTCTAGTTCAAGCATCAAATTTCTCATTCCCTGAAGTTATCACAGCATTTCATATTTTATATTATACACACTTAAATCCTCTTTATCAGTTATGGGACTATTTTAGACACTCTTAAATTATCAAGATTAAATTGGGGCATTTTTCCAGCAGCAGGACTTCAAGCTCAGATACCATTAGCTAATAAGGAGAGAAAGCAGACAAACCAGCTGTTGCAAGACACTGAACTTTTGCCTTTGATCATCCCTTACTTGATTCATGGCCAAAAACAATCACGTAGGTTTAGCAGAGGGTAACAACGTTTAGTGGGTGACAGAGAAATGGAGAATAAGCGATGTCAATCATAACATGCCGCCAACCTTCTATCAGTAATTCTTGTAATAAGACGACCACCTGAATTTAAAGCAGTTTTCCAGTCCTCTTTTGGATTGACTATTGGTGGGATGACAGATACTTTTTTCCTGCCCTTATAGCAAGAGAAACAGGGCAGACAAACGGGAGAATAATAAATTCTTATAATTTGCAAAATTATTAATATTTTACATATTAAATAATTTGTATTATATTTCTCGGATTTGTTTTCCAAACTAGTTTATTCTACAGAGTTAATCTCTCATACCTTAAGGCTGTCTTGCTTAGAAATCTTTGACTATTTACTTTTCCTATCTTAATTCTAAAGATGCAGCAGTTTATAGAGGCTATTCAAACTGTGCCTTCAGTCATATCAGCCCTTACTCCTTTCTTATTTCAGCAAATAATATGGTATCTTTCCCAAACATTTCCCAGAAAAACTAATTCTGATCATTTCAAAGAATTCTTGGAATAATTTTGACTCTTAAAACCACTTATTAGTTTTCCTGTTGTATAGTGCAGTACTCTCCCAGTTGTACACTATGTTCTAATAACTTAATATTAGAACTAAGTGACAAACACAGTCATCTAAGAAACCCTATTTGTGGAACAGTAACATTTTCACCTACCAAAATATATATTCTGTGAGGATAGGATGAACATAGGAAGTCTAGGAAATACAGAAACAGTAAAGAAAAACAGAACTATTTTAAGTTAGTTATTACCATTTTAAAGGAACTGTCAGGGAGAAAACAGTTTCATATAATGAATCAAAGATTACATTAACTTAAAATTCCTTCAGATTTTTGTCCTTCGGCTTTTTCCCCCTCTGCCTTTCAGGCAGAAAATTCATACATACAATGCAGTAAATCTTTTAAAATTCAGAATCTAAACACACAGTCCATATCTGCTCTGGTATTTGTGTAAATATTCTTTGGATATGTAAATACAAGTGACACCAGTATGTGTACATAATGCTATTAGCATGTACAATGCAAATGAATAATGGTATCTCTGACAAGACAGAGATAAAAAACAGATAACGCAACTTAAAACTTCATCACACTTCTGGCTTCTTGCATTTTAACATAAATCTTCATATTCCTATCAAAGGGTTCATTTGGATTTCTAAATATTTAACAATGCTATCCCACTTTTTCACTCATCGCTTTGAAAGCACTTAGCACTTCAAAAAAGGCAAGGAAACGACATTGTTTCTACTCTGCAAATGTAAAAACTGAGGCACAAAAGACTATTTTTTTCAACACTGGTATTTCAGATCTCAAACCTCTTCATTAAATTATGCTAGTGTCCCACCAAAATGCAGGGCAAATTCTTACACTCCTTTCTTTTCCAAGTTACCTGTCACGATAAATGTAGAGCCTTAGAAATGAGCTGGCTCAGCACTTTAAAATCAGGATACATACAATGCCTTTCTTGTACTTTTAAGTGACTGGCACTCCGTAAGAAAAGTGCTTCTAAAATTATGTTTGCCCAGGCAAAACAAAGACCAAAAATGAAGTGATTATATTATACTTAAGCTATCTATCATTACACAGTTACACAGTGGATATAATGGAGGAAAAAGAATATTTATTAAACAGGAGTATTGTAATCATGCTAATGTATCTTACCATTATAACGTGTAAAATAAAGAGAAGATTCAATGTTTCTGAAATTTTGTCAAAAAAACTTTATTTTATAAAAATCACAGGATCCATTTAAAAGCTTAACTGAAAAGATTTGGTAAGAATTAATCAGAAATTAACTAACTTCAGCTTGATTAATCAGAAATTACCTTCAACTGTCAGCACATCAAATGAGTTTGCCAATGTAACACTACTCAGCAGGGAGAGTTTGATTCAATATGCATGTGCTTAGATTCGCCCAACTAACTGGACACTACTACATCCGTACGCTAATGTTTTTCTTACCACAATGACATTTCGTATGAAGTACTAACAATATGGTATCTTCAAAATAATTTTCACATTTAGAGCCAGAAAACTGCATCTACCTACCACCAGCTAGAGACATTCGGAAAGCCCGTGAGGAAGTATGGAGCTTTTTCCATATCCAGCAACACTTTATCGAACAGTATTTTAATCTTTTTCTTCTTTAGCCTTACACAGGCTTTTACAGGGTAGTTAACTACTCTTGGCTCCTCCTGTGGTAGCTGTCAGATTTGTCTTGATACTGGTCAGCCAGACACCATCTAAATTTTTCTCTTCATCTCCCTGCCATCCATGAGGGATGTCCAACAGGTCTTCCAGATTAACTTCAGTGATCTGCCATTTTATCAGTATGGCAGCATTAGTCCACCGTATTTCAGTAAGCTTAAGAAAACACAGTTCCCTTGAATTCCAGGTGCTGGGTTGGGATTCCTTTACCTGATCTGCCATATCCATTCTTCAAAGGAGTTCACAGTGACAAGTACATATCAGAAAGGACTTTATTTAGTAATTAAGGATAAAGCCCATTAAAGGCAAACAACCGAACTAGAAAAAACTCTGTGTAGGCTCAGGATTAAGGCTGAATGTGATCTGTGTTGTAGTCTATATAGACTGAAGAATGCGACTTTATTGAAATGGCTCAAACTGTATTTGGTCTAAGAGTCCATTTAATGCAATTTTGCTTTTTCATGTTTAAAACATACTAAGTCTTTTGTGGTACAGTTCAGCCGAAGATTTACTGACCAACTGTAACATATTTAGCGTACAGCTGTCATATGACTATTCTGGATTGAAAAGGGAGTCCACGTCAGGATCTGTATGACTGCAATGCAAAGTGGAACCAGACAGATCAAATAGAACATGGCATCATGAAGACCTAAAAACAAACTGGTGAAGAAAACACAGCTTTCAAGATGGTGAAGATTAACTTTCATGGTCAATTCACAACAAATTATTTTAAAGCATTCACATTATATACGCATATACATGTTACTGTGTACAATCAATTCTAAATAAAAGAAATATAAATATCTCAGAAATCAAATGACTTCAATTATATTTTCTAATTCTACATACAGATATGTATTTTATGTTTTTTGCTCCTTTCATAATAGCTGGGAGGAAATTAGATAATTAGCACACAAAGAGTTCATTTTAATACACTGTAGATAACCTAAGAAATCCTGTTCGCTACTTTAGTACACACCTGTATTAGGTAATATAGAAATCAATTTAAGCAATATAATCCAATTATAGAACAGAGCACCTGAAAAGGTTTAGTAAGACTGAAAAATCTGGAAGAGAAAGAAAAGCAGAAAATGGAAGCAAACATTTTAACATGAAATTATTTTATTTAAGTTAAAATCTGTGCTACTAGCTATCCACATAGTGTGTTGTTATAGTTGCTGAGTGCTAGATGGAAGTCACAATTAATGCACAACATTCAGTTATGGTGTAAAGGGCTGTTTGAAATATCAAGCCTTATTTAATTTTATTTTAAAATAAATGATTACAAGATAATATAAACCATAAAAAGAATACATGTGAAATTAACACTCATTCTCATTTATTCTAATGGATGCATGGTATTTCCTCATCTAAATCTTCTCTAAGGAATAAGAGATAAAAGCATCAGCAAATATGAATCAAAAAAGAAAATATAGGAGTTAAATGAGTACCCTTTTATGAACAGTATGGTTTCTGACAGCTCAAAGCATACATTTAGGCATTCATCTAATAGCTAGAATCATTATCTACTGACATTCTGTTAATTATTGGATTCTAATTACTTCAATATCAGGAAAGTCAACTCAAGCTGAGAAACAGCCCCTAAATGAACTTTCTCTCCATGAGGCAGTTTATGTTATTTTCTACTTTTTTCCTTAGCATTCAGGGATGAGATAGGAGACTCACAGAACAGCTATGGACATGATCCAAAAAAAACTGAAATCTGTGAAAAAAACCTCTCATTAACTTGAGCAGGCTTTTGAATAAAACCTAAAAGTTTCTCTGAATTATGAAAGAATCAACTCATGTCTCACTGCATTTAACAGAAAAAATGCTTGCAACCTGCAACATAGCCCAAATTTATTCCTTAGCACATACACACACTCATACAAAGATCATAATTTATCTCAAGTCATGTACATGCTAATGCTACCTATGAAAACAAAACCCCACAGGCTTAAATAAAGTGAATTACTTAATCACTTGGGCAATTGCATTTAAGACTGGAAGCGCTCACTAGCAGGTCACTGGTCCATAGCCAATGTTTATTGGCAGTGACAATAATTTACCATTTGGACATTGTTTACTGGCCTGTATTCAATTGCATTTTCAGTCCACCTACAAGTAAACAAGGTCCCACATCATGCATACCACCGTCACAACTGCCAATAGTTAACTGTGTGAGCAGTCTCAGCAGGGAGGCCAGAGAGAAATTACTTACCTGTCGAAAGATGAAAACAGGACTAAGACACAGTTAACAGGATGTTGGGGCTTGGACTTTGCCTGTTCTGTACACTAAAGAGGACTGCAGTTTTCAGTACTAAAATTATTCTGTCTTTATATGTGGACTTCAGGAAGGACAGAAAAATAAAGAACATCTGCCAAATCACTCACACTGGTGCAATCCCAATTTGGTTTCATTGGAACAATATTGGTTTAAGAAAATAGTATTACTTATTGCACTGTGAAACCTTAAGTTACTGCAGGAATTATGAAAAATATCTATAGTACACGAAACAAGGAATGGGAAAATATTTCATCAAGGGACTGGGATAAATCAAGAGCAGAACTCAGATTTCGTCATAATAACAGCTGAACCAGTAACTTCAGAAATTTCCATGTCTACATTTTTTGCACACGCAGAAATAAAACATACAATCTTTCACTAAACAGCCCTAATATCGCTATGAATAGAATGTGATGTAGTCCAGTAATTCAATATGAAAGCATCAACAGTTTAAAGTGCCTCCAATAAATAATGAAGAGTTGCTGTCAAATAACTTCATTCTGAAGAACGAATTTGAAAAGCACACTTTTAAGAGAAGTCAGCTGTAGTTGCAGTGGCTCTCCAGAAGAGGGAGTTTTTAAACTAGGTATCTTTTCCATAGCAAAAAAAAAAAAAAAACAACCAACCTAAAAAAACCCAGCCCAACCCAACCCAAGCAAAACAAAAACCCCCAAGCCATATAAGGCAGGTAATGCTTTGCTGTGATGACAGACCAAAAGGGAAAAAAAAAACCCAACCAGGACCACTCCATTCTGCAAGCTATTGCTCAAATTTTAAGGATATTAAAAAATACTTCTTAAGCTAGCTTCCACCACAAAATGCTTAACTGATGTGTAGTGACCACATTGCCCAAGAATGCAGTATAATGTGTGTATTAATGTACACAAACCCATGTGTAACACATATGGAATTGTGTACAATATATAGGCCAACCTTGTGTGAAATAGGTTACACCAAAAAGCAAGAAGACTTCTGGAAGAGACATCCACTATTCATAGCAGAAGTCACACTTCAGAGTTATGATACCAGAGGCAAAACCAAGAGATACTGGATTGCTCCTAAGGAAGAAGACGTCACTGTGACTAAGAAGATATTACCACTGAGGCAGAAGTAAATACTGGTACTGGTAAGTAAGAAGTTGGTGAAGTTAATGGTCAGTTCAAAGGCTTCAGTACAGAGGAAGACAGTCTAGATCTTTGGAATGCCTGGTCTAATACAGTACTGGGATCACTGTTCAGTGATAAGCATTTTCTCATTTTTGATGAATCTTATGATACCTCACAGATGAAAGAAAAAGGGGACTGAATTTTCCTTCTTCTAGACTTTTACTCTCTGTATAAAACCTCTTCACTGTCTTACCGGCTTGGGTGCCCTGCAGAATACAACTGTAACAGAAGCCACCAAGACGATGATGAACTGTTGTCTCAAAAGGTCTTCTGGGATAAGAATTTCACTCATAACATGCCAGTTGTCCTAATAAGCTGCTTAGGAATGTGGTCTTTACTAAAGGCAGAGAACATACATAGGTGAATTGCTCAGCAGCATGATGGCAACAAAAGACAGGCAAAGCTTAAAACCCGGCAACTTATAGTTGATTGGTACTCTTAACGGAGTTTTGGTACTCTAATGAAGCAATAAAGAAATATCCTGATCATGGAGGATGTAAAGGAGTCATAATATCACAGAGCTGAAGAACCAAAATGTAATCACTGGAATGATGAGGAGGTGTAGGTGAGGTAGTGTCATCTTACAGACTTTTTGCTGGAGGCATAAGAATCAGAAGATACATGGCTTGTCCCAGCAGATAGCTTTTGATAGATAGATTTTTTTGATACGGTGTAAGATGAGCACCAAAGACAGAATATTTACGAAGCCCACTTCTGAAGGCAGTATGCGATTAATAAAATGCTATCAAATGTATAAGCTAAATGAAGTAGGGGAGAAAAAGACACACCCTTCCCCTGTAAGCTACGACCTTTTTTTTTTTGTATGCAAGTTGAAGTCATCCAGGTGAGCTCCAGCATTCCATGTGGTCTTGAGTAAGCAATATATCAAGAAATGAGGAACGAGGAAATGAAATTACAATATTACACAAAAATCAGTATGAACAAGAAAAGCTTATTTCCATAATTTTCAGCTGTAAACTCATCACTGGAAAATGTGTTTTACTACAGCAGAAGCCTGGAAAGTTGCTGAGAATACAAAAACCAATGTTCAAACTTTTGATGCTGGAGGGAAAGATAAGGGAGACACTGACGGTCTGCTAATACTTTTCTCCATTCACTCCACAGAACATTAACATCCAAAACATACAACCCCCCAAAAAAACTAAACACAGATAATAAGATACATCTTATTAAGATTCTTTTGCTTTCTTAGAGGATCTGTGAAATAACTGTGGAAGAAAACTAATGCAATGGTATCTGTATAAAAAAAGCAACTGCCTGTCTGTAACTGTAACATACCCATATTTTCACTATCATTAAACACTGGAACTTTGTTCACAGAATCAGAATCATGGAATGGTTGAGGCTGGAAGGGACCTCTGGAGGTCATCTGCTCCAAACCCCTGCTCACGCAGGGCCACATAGAGCCAGCTGCCCAGGACTGCGGCTAGACAGCTTTCGAATATTTCTAAGGATGGAGGGTCCACAACCTCCCTGAGCAACCTGTTCCACTGCTGAGTCACCCTCACAGTAAAAAGGTGTTTCCTGATGTTCAGAGAGAACCTCCTGTGCTTCAGTTTATGCCCACTGCCTCTGGTCCGGTCACTGGGCACCACTGGAAGGAGCCTGGATCCATCCTCTTTGCACCCTTCCTTAAGGAATTTCTATACATTAAGAAGATCCCCCCGAGCCTTCTCTTCACCAGGCTGAACAGTCCCAATTCTCTCAGCCTTTCCTCACAGGAGAGATGCTCCAGTCCCTTAGTAACCTTTGTGGTCCTTTGTTGGGTTCTCTCCAGTATGTTCATGTTTCTCTTATACTGAGGAGCCCAGAACTGGACACAGTACTCCAGGTGTGGCCTCACCAGTGCTGAGCAGAGGGGATGGATCACCTCCTTTGACCTGCTGGCAATACTTTGTCTAATGCAGCCCAAGATACCATTCACCTTCTTTGCCACAAGAACACATTGCTGGCTCATGTCTAGTTTGGTGTCCACCAGGACCCCCAGGTCCTTTTCTGCCAAGTTGCTTTCCATCTGGGTGGCCTCCAGCATATACTGGTGCATGAGGCTGTTCCTCCCCAGGTACAGGACTTTGCACTTTCCTTGTTGAACCATGAGGTTCCTGTAAGCTCTTTTTTCCAGCTTGTTGAGATCACTCTGGATGGCAGCATGACCCTCTGATGCATCAGCCACACCGCCCAGTTTTGCATCATCACCAAACTTCCTGAGGGTACATCCTGCCCCATCATCCAGATCATTAATGAAGATGTTAAACAGGACTGGACCCAGTATAGACCCCTAGGGTACACTACTAGTTACTGGCCTCCAACTAGACTTCATGCCACTGATCACCACCCTCTGGGCCTGGCCATTCAGCCAGCTTTCAACCCATCTCACTGTCTGCTTGTCCAGCCCATATATCAAAGGCTTGTCTATGAGGATCTTATGGGAGACATTGTCAAAGGCCTTACTGAAGTTGAGGTAGATGATATCCACTGCTCTTCCCTTGTCTATCAGGCTCATCATTTCATTGTAGAAGTTTATCAAGTTGGTCAAGGATGACCTCCCCTTGGTGAAGCCATGCTGACTACTACTTATGATTTTATGTCCTTAATTTGCCTGGAAATGGTTTCCAGGATTAGCTGCTCCATCACTGTTGCTATGATTTAACTTTCAGTTCAAGAAAAAATAAATAATTCAGAATTCAGCAAATAGTTTATGGTTTTGGACTGCATCTTCTCTCTTCTCCCAGTAAACAACATTGCTGGAAACTCTTAAGACATACTTATTCAGGGTCCAAACATTTTGTTAATGCAGAGTAAGGGTCCTCTGTGCTATCTTCACAATTCACTACCACTACACCTAATGAAGCAAATGCATTCCAGAACGCTTAATAGATACCACCAGCTTTGGAGAAGGAGGAAGGACACAGCTGAGATTGTACTGGCATGGGTCATAACACTTCATTATATATAATTCACATGTGTGAAATTGTTGGGTTTTTTTCAAAACAGTTTGAGTATATTTTAAGTGATCTCCTGTATTGTTTCTGTTTGTCCCCAAACAACTTTGTCCTGAGGCAAGTGTATTTTAGCTGTCTGCCTATGGCTGAAATCTGAGATCAGCTGATAGGGTTTTAATATGTATAAGTAATTTTAGCTCAGTCAATGGTCTGAGTACATTGCCGTGGGCAAACTGACTTCCTAGAAACAATCTTGAGTAGTCTGGTCTTTGTAGACTGTATGTCCACACTGTAGTCCATTTACAAAGAGAAGGACATGCACATTCACACATACATATACAGAAAACACATGTAGACTGCTTCATATTTAAGAAATCATTTCTGAAGGGATGGGCAAGAGAAATATAGAGTATATTTCAGGTGCTCTTTGATTAACTGATCTCAGCTTCGTACCTTTATGCTGTTCCTTGCCCTAGTGAGAGAAATCAAATTTCAGCATGACTCAAGTGAAAATATAGGTTTTAGAAACTGAGCATTCAAAGTATTTCAACTCTATATACAATAAATTTATTGTTGCTATAGTCCAGAGGCTACTTACTGGGGGAAAAAAGATTTATAGCTACTGTGATTTAAAATTGATCCACAAAGGGATCATTTCTCTGATTGAAAGGGATCAGAACTGCAGTTTTTATGTTTCAAATCTGAATTTCTCTGAATCATGAAGATGAATATATTCAGCCCTCTCATATCCACACCCAGTTCAACCTACCGCTCTCCTGCAAAAATCACTCATCTTATTTGACGTTATAATGAGGTTCATGTCTTCTTCACATCATCTCAGTGGCTGGCTATCTACAGAATGCATTAAAATAAAATTAACTGTTCTCACACATAGCCTCAAAATGAAGCCTTCTTTGCTTGTGTCAGGATGCTTTTCTGAAGACCACCTGTTGCCCTTTTATGTCATGCTTTTCCTTGTATATTTTTTTAGAAAACTCCTCAAATACAAAACATTCTCCAAGCCTTAGATGACTCATAACCCCTCATTTCTCCTCCAAGACCTATCTCCACAAAAGTTCATATACAATTGTGTTCTACGTATTTTTTAAGGTTTCTACTCAAAATTTAGGAGAGCTATGTAGTTCCCAGGATATTCATGTTGTTCTTTCATGCAAATCCTAATAGGACTGATTTTTGCCTTTTCGTCTTGACTTCAGTTATTCCTTATGTTGCCACTTCCTCTTGTTGGTCATAAATAAACAGCCTATGACCCCTTCAGTGTACTGACTCCCTGTTAATTTGTTTTTATAAAAGCCCATGCATTTCCAATGTGCTAACTAGCAACCACAGCTTTATGCTGTGTATTAAGGTCTCCAGGGACTGCAATGAAATCATTAGCATTAGAATGGTAGGTAGTATTGAAGCCAAAATTATACTCCTACTTGAGGCAAATTCCCTCCCTCCAGTGATTATACTGCTTTCTCTCAAACAAAAATGTATCTTAAATGCAACCCTATTAGATTATATATTTAAGGAAGTAGGTTTATGAGATAAACAAAACACAGAAGCCAGGACAATATGTATCGTAGTAAGAGGTATTAGGTGATCTCAAACATATTTTTTTTCTTTTTTGCAATAGAATGGGAGATGGTTAACCACTGAAATATATCCTTTGTTTTTCAAAATTAGGTAGATATCCTCATGTGTATTGCTTAATAAATGATATATTCTTTAAAAAAATCTAGAAAACATTTCTATTTCTATACAGATAAAAAACAACTGGAAAATATTTTTAAAGCACCCATATTTTTGAAGTGCAGTTGATGCAAACTAATTGCAGATTAATTTGCTTTTTAGATGACAGGATTAACAAATTTCATGTTAATTTCTATGATTTAAAGTATCTCTTTTGAACTCACCTTGGATCAGGTTGAGCAACTTCATCATTCAGGTTCTCATATCCAAATTGATTTAGTATTGTAACCACAAGCATTGGAGCCAAAGATTGGGCAGGCTTCGTAAATAAAGCATTGGTACCAAAAACCATAGAGGAAAGTGGTGATCTAAAATATTTAAGGAAAAAAACAAACGAATACACAACACAAACTTATTAGTATATTAATTACAATAGTGATTTTTAAAATCCTATTAGTAGGCAAATGCTAAGTATCATCATACTTAGCTTTATAGTTCACACATTATAGCAAACAGATCAGCTATCATAATGAAATTTAATTTTCTTTGGAAATTAAAGGTAATAAACCTCTGGGATATATATACACCTTGGCCCCAATTCTGAAACGACTCGCACTCAAGTTCAACTTTGTGCACATTGAGTAATTATTGAAGTTAAGTTAGACTGAGCAGTGCATGGAGAATCAATTACAACTTAAGACTTTACATGCATGAGGCCAGAAAAGGAGGCTTTTTTTTTCTTCATGAAGGTAACAGCTTTCACATTTGAGGGGCAAGTCCTTTAATACAGTGACCAGGATATAAACATTGAGGGAACCAACTGGAAGTTATCTGCACTTTGATAAAAATAAAAAAAAAATCCATGAGTTGTAATATGCTACGTCACAGCAGGTTTTATCAATTTTATTTCAGAGAGATAACAGCAACCAGTTAGACTTTGAAATTTGCACTTTAAGTAGCACAGGCTAAACTTTCTAAATGCTTTTGCCATGTTAGAAAGACCTTATTCAGAAAATTCCTTAAGTGACAATAGATATATATGGTTACAAAATAATTCAACTGAAGCTAACAAAAATAAACACACAAAAACCAGAGGACTTGGCTTACACTATAGTATAATTAAAACTAGAAATGACATAATAATCTGTTTAAATTACTCTGCTGATAACTGCAGGAAACTTTATTCAAGTTCTTATCTTTACTTACGCTAAGTTGCTCTTACAAAAAGTACATCTGTGTCAAGGATCCAAAAATCACTTACTGTCTTTACTTTGACATAATCTAACTTACGGAAGAGTAACATGGCAAATAGATAGCATATTTAAAGAGAAACAGTTACGACTGACATACCTCCGCTTGTGCTTTATTAGATCTGCATCAACAATATCTGCCAAAGGCAAATTGAACAAACTAAATGAAGCTTGTACAATTACCCTAAAGAAAGACAAAATATTTAAGATGTTCATAGTTCTTATATACACTTTCATAATGAAATTGTAACTGACATTCTAACATTTACACCCCAACACTGACATTGCCACAAATACACAAAGCTGAGACGTTCTTTAAAACATGGTGATTTATCTGTTTAAACAGCAGCTCTGAAAGCATTATTAGATCTGTTCTTAATTGAGAATTAGAAATTGATACGCAAAACTAAAAGGTGGAGGTTTTTTGCCTTTTTTCGTGGACACTGGTGCAAAAGGTCGTAAGTACTTGCTTGAGATTATCAATAAATGTCATTTTAAATGACATGGAGAAAAGAAACACCTTAGAAGAAAGAGAAACTGAAAATGTCCTCTTGAAATCTGAAAAGGACATGAGCATTACTGGAAAGACTACATGGAAGACAAACTTCAAAGTGGGAGAATTAAAATAGCAAAAAGATTTTATATGCACTCTTATATATGTATTTATATTATATATAAATATGCATTTAAAACCACACACACACACACACACACAAAGGCAACTCTTAACAAACTGCTAACTGAAACCATAAACTCACATATAAGGATTTCTATGTCTTATCAAATTTTGGGTGTGATTCGCTTTTACTTATGGGAGGCTTTGAACAATTAGCACTTTAAACATACAGTCTTTAGGTACCTTAGAATGTTTTCCTTGGGAAATCAAAATATATCTTCATCATTTAAAGTATGCAGGTAATGAAATTCAATTTATTGTTCACACAAAAAAAAAAAAGGGGGGGGGGGGGGAGGGGAGGGGAGCGGGCAGAGAAGATGAAGAAAAGGAGGATAGGAAAGCACATGTAGAAAGAAAGCAATGAAATAGAAAATGAAGAAATAAAAAACGAACTGCTGTAACAACATTCTGCTACAAACAGGTCTTTATTTTTAAATAAGGTTTTCTATGTATCATAATATACTTCTGTGAAAATACTTCTTCTTGGCATCATACTTACCCAGTACCAGTGAGAATGTGACTCGGTATTGGTTACCTAACAGATACCTGACATACCAATATTTGTTTTGCAATACAAAATGAGGTCTGAGCTTTCCTAGCAAACAGCCTCTGAAGAGTTCCTCTATTGAAATCTTCTGTGTCTATGTGGATGAGAAAAAGAAAAGGTTCTGCTTCCCTTGAATCTCATGTTAAAGCAGGTATGTGGCTGTTCATTTTTAAGGCTTTTTTGGTTTTTTTAAGCAGAAATTAAAAGCTGAAGCAGAATAAAATGAAAGCTGAAAAAAGTTGTAACTGGAATTTCAATTTTTCTGACAAGTGAAACAGAACAGGAAGAAAACCATAAAAGCAGTGGCAAAATCTTCATGCTATTAAAAGCAAGTGTCCACTCTGTTACAATTACTTAAGCCATATCTATGAATAGGGAAGTGTATTTACTTACATGTTTGTTGTGAGATAAAATGCCAACAGATAATAGTGCTCTGACCCTAGAACAAACATGACAGCAGCAGCTACTCCTTCAAAGTAAAAGGAAAACAAGATGATTCTGTAATAACCAAACTTCTTCAACGAAGTATGACTGAGAAGAACAAGGCACTGAAAAGATAATATATACACATATATGATGAAAAGATGTAGTACAGTATCTCAGTATTAGGAGAGCTATAAAGCACAGACCAGACATAAATTATTACTACCCATTAAAGAAAAAAAAAACCCATCCCTTTCTAAAAAGTTCAATCCAAGTAAAAAAATAGTAATTGAACAGAGAGAACTATACTGGCTCATTCTACGCTACCTCTATCATGTAAGAATGGTCTCCCTTCACTCAAAACTAGCCAGCTAAGAACTACTATATCCTGAGGAAAATGCCATTTCCCTAACTATTATTGAATGCTCATGATCTTTATGTTTGATATCCCTTAAAGAATTAACTTTGCAGTACATTAACTGTAAACCAAGCATCTTGCCATTTGAATTTTAACTTCTGATCAAAAATATTTTCAATAATTGTATTTTCATTAATATTACTATTTTCACTGACATTTATAGAAATTAAGCATGACTTTTAAGTTGATAAAGCAAGCTCTCCAAGACAGCTGATCTAAGCAAGTTAGCGACTTTATCAGCAAGTAGAGAAAGGCAGGTGCCAGTGGACAACATGTATGGCTGCATTTTCATACTGCCAATCTTAGCAAGCAGTAATCCACACGAAAAGCTAGTGACAGGCAAACTCGTGAAAATGGTATTAAGTGCTGATTATAGTATGAACAAAGCGTAAGCTCTTCTATGTTGTTCCTCACTTTTGACTTTAAATAGGACATTTTGTAATGCATTATGTTCTTTTTATTATATGAGCCTATGTCACCATCTACATGTATGTGGTCCTCAACACTGTCACAAAAAATACTCCCAAACTCTATAAAGATACACATTTTCTCCTTCCTTTTGTGTTACAGAGATGAACAGTGTAATATTCAGATGAAGAACAGGAACGAATTCTCCTTGTACATTTGTTCCCACATTTAAATTCTTTAACATAACCAATAAAACCAGGATGCTACAGTCAGACAAAGATTACTGTGGCAAATGCTATTTTAAAGAAGCTCAAGTTTTCTACTTAGACCAATGATCAGGTAGGTAAAACAAATCCGGAAAGTTGTTATAAGAAAAAAATCTGGTTGTAAGAAACTTAAACATACTCCTCCCCCTGGCTGTTTTCAGGCATTTTTCAGAAAAGTGCTTACACTCAAAATGGTAAGGCATTATGTAATGCGTATTATTGTAAAAACCATGACCTTGTCTCCCTATAATTGAGAAATAACCCTGCCTCAGGAAGCACTTATGATTTAGAAAATGTCTTATTATCTGCATGTTTCTCGGACTGCATGTTTCTAAGAAAAATACTAACTTAATGATGAAAATTTAAATTTGTATGCCTATGTTTCAGCAATAAGGTTTCCCTTGAAGGCAGGTTTTATTCTTCACACTCACTACTGAAAGGAACCTAAGACGGAAGCTGAATTCTAGTTTAGTACAGGCCACTGAAGCACAGTTCATAAGAAGGAGCTTTATTTTACATGGGTTGGGTGCTTTTCCGGTAAGTAAAGTTCAGGACGTTGCCACCAGAGAATACTCTTACTATATTTTGAGCTCAAAGTGACAAAACCTGAGAAAAAAATAAGGTCACAGCAAACTGTCTACGGTTCAGTGACCTTCCAGACAAAGAGTCTCTGGGGAACAGGGAGAGATGCATTTTCTGAAAGACTGGTTGTTTCACACCGTCACGCTGATTTTATCAACAGTAGTGATTGCTATATATTGAGTGTAAAATTATTCAAGCTTTCCTAACTTCTGCAGTTTCTGATTTATTTCCAAAGTTCATCAGCTAACTGTTTGAGTTACATAAAAAAAACTGTTAAACCTGTGGTAAGGATAAAAGTTGAAATTCTAGATATTTAGGATTTATGGAACAGAGAAGGTATGTTTAGGATTTGTATGTTATATATGCAAAAGCCAAAACGGTAACTGAAATTGAACTGTGAATTCCAGTTGCACTTTCACGTATCTTCTTTTAGATTTTACTTACTGAAAACATTACAACTTAATGAACATAACAGCCTGATTTTCAGAAATTCTGAACATCATCAGCACCTATGATGAAAGTCAGGATACTAAGTTTTTGAGCAGTCCAACAAGTAAACATAGTGAAAGTTTTAAAAGATCCAGTGAAAAAGGGAGTGAAGAGAATTTTTTTATTCACTGCAGACACGTATGTTTACATTCTGTGGGACATATTTTTTGCTGCTTTTCTTGTTTGGGTTCTCTTTCTCTTTTCTTTTCCAGTTCATTACTCCTCCTCTCATCCCTGATAGGGGTCTTGAATTTCACCTCTCTCTCTCTCCCCAGTAAACGTAGCTGACCAAGACAGTAAACAACAAAATAAATGGGAACGCATTATTCTCCAAAAGCAGCTATTCAGAGTTTTGTTTGATTCCCATGACTGAGATACCATGTATTTCAACAATGCTTTTAATACCTAATAATTTTTCTGCTGTTTTGTGCAGTTTATCTCAGCAACTTCCTGAAAAAGAGATTATTCTTTCATCATGTATTACCAATCAAAACCAAAGAGAATAGAATTCAGAATTCTATAGATTTTGCTTTTAGAAACTTTTTATCTTGACCATGTTTTTCATTCCTTTATACTTAGGTATTGTAAACCCTGTAGGATACAAAACATTCACTCCTTGCATACTCACATCTCACATTCTTGCAAACAGATATTCTACCAGCCTGCCTGCTTATCCTTTCTCCCTACCCTACTCTTACATTTGGTTGGCCTGTACATAGAGGTTCTTTCTTCTTTTAGAGCATTGGTGAGCTAGATTTGTTTCTCGGTATGGCCAATGGCTTATGCTGGATACAGCATTTTTTCAACAAAGAGTGCAAATGGATACCTTAAAGTAATGAAAACTAGTAAAACACCATGTTTTCACATTTTGAAATCAAAAAGTGTAACTGCCTACCTGAGGACAAATAAAGCCTGCTCCATACATGATACTTCTTATTGAGGAAGAAAGGACATCCTTAGGAATAAGATTATCCGCAAAGATCATCATAAAATTGTTGCAGAAGGCTAGGTGGAAGACTTGGAAGAAGTTCATAGTTACAAAAAATAAGAAGTTTTTCTCTGTCATAATCTGCTTGGTCAATGAAATTACAGAGGACCAGGAGAGAGCTCCATCACTGTTTTCCAGATTAGCGTTCTCCGTACAAATTTCTCTCTGCTCATATTGACTAGTACTGTATTTGCCTGTGTAACACATACAAGCTGTTGCTAATGCTGCGACCAAAACAGCAAAAGCCTGAAAATACGCAAAATTTTCCATATTATCTGATATGAGACCACAAAAGAGAATGCTTGTTGATCCGATTAATGTTGCTACTTGGTTATATTTAATAAGCTGAAGCCTGCTTTCATGTCTTGTTGAAATTTCTGCAAAGAGCGCACACTGTGCTAGAAGCACGAATGTAAGCAAACCATCAAAAGCACATAATGCAACAATGAGGTGAAGACCACTTAGCCAGTCACCTTCTTCATAATGTTTCCAAGGAAACCAAGGAAGCAAAAAGGCTAACGCATATAAAGGAGCTCCATATAAAATTGAAAACTGGCGTCTTGAGCAGCATGCGAATTTGGAGTTATCTTGAATATACCCAAAAAGAGGATCATTAATGGCATTCCATATCATAAATACAACCTGTGACAAACAAGTAAGAAACACAACAGAATTTATCATTAGCGTGATTTTTCTGCAGAGGTTATACAAACACAGAAGTAATACACACCATATTTATTTAAAATAAATCTCTCTTCAAAGAGTAAAGAAAGATGAAAGTTTCTCAGGTCAAAACAGACTCCAGACCAAATTCTTAAAGGTATTTAGAGGTTTACAGTAGTTTTGAAAAAACAAGATGAGTAAGTAGGCAGGTGCCCAACTACATGTGAAATAAAGCCCTGTCTGTAAGACTTCACTTCTTCAAAAGCTTATGTATCTGAGCTTTCATCTTGCAAAGCCAAAATATTACTCCCACAGCAAGTAATTCAAAACATGAGCTGGCCCATTACTTTCAGGAGACCATTTATGACAAGAGTTGCTCACGTGGATAATGACTTGCAGAATAAAGGCAGTATTTAAGTACCTAAACAGTCCATAGGAAAGCACTAATGTCAAACATATCTGTGGAGCTGAGGTGCAAGATTAATTTAGAACATTACTTCAAGCTATCAAAGGTAAAAATCTTTCCAGCAATTAAAGTCTGGAGATCTTTAGTCTAAAGACTGTAAATGATGTGCTTTATGCGTACTGTCAATTGCTTATGGACTAACTAAATTTAAAATGAATTTACTATATAACTATTTGCTATGCATCCAAAATTAATTCGTAAGTAAAAAAAAATACTTTGTTGTGATAACACAGACACATAGCACAACATGGTAATCAAAATACTCCATTGGACAATACCTGTGCTTGATGAAATGCTACTTCTGAAATTTTGTATCGGTTTAGGAAAAGCTTAACGTAGTAGAAATTAAAGATACTGTTCATCATTCCAGCACCTAACGTAGTCATGGAATATGCCAGCGCATTAGGATGAATTCCCAAAACAAACTTCATCTTCCACAAGTACAACTCTCTTCTTCCTTAAGTTACAAAAAAGAATTACAACAGTTGGTAGAATAATTTTCCAAATTAAAATGACAGGGGAGATTTGCTTGTTTCAGAGGTGTAGAAATGGATTCTCAGAGAAAAATTTCCCATTCTTCCTTCCTTTTTTTTTTGAGAAGCACATTTTACTGAGTTGTAAGACACTGAGCCCAAAACTGAATAGATGCAAAATATTAAGAAGTCAGTGACATTTCTAAATATAATCAGTGCTTAAAAATCAATGGAACAAGTAGACAAAAATTTAAAAGAATCCCTTCCTAACTGGTGCACCGACTCAATATAAAAATCTGCTATTGCAAACACTAATCTTGGTGTAGAGTTCAAAGTAATTGCATACATTTTAGATCTTTCTTGCTAGCTACATAGTTTTAAAATTATGGACTGTGTAGGAATGAAGTGACTCAATTCATATCCTTATGTATTCCATTGCTATGAACGTCAAACGCAGCATGCCCTTAGATGAATATTTCTTTCAAAACAAATACCAAGTTTTGTCCTTGTATTTTTAAATGTTAATTGTTAACAAGTCATGGAAGCAATACTTTCACCTAATAAACTAATGAGATATGAATGGAAACCATAAAACAATCAAAACACCTTTTAATAGTTTAGACATTTTCATAGTATAAAAGACTGCGTGCAAATAAAATCTCGCAAGTAACACATGTACAGCATTTTAAGTACATCCAAATAACAGACATTCAGCCCAAGAATATAGAGTTCTTTAACATATCAAACAGATCTTCAGCCAACAATTTTTTAACATGCTGACTTTTTCCAGCTATCTAGCAATTAACTGAAGCATGCTTGGTATAAGCTATCCCATGAAAATAGCTAGCTCCAGGGAACCTCTACCTTCTAATGTCTACCTTCGTGGTCCTTGACCAGATTTGATTCTATAAGCCCAGTACAAAATACTTCTCCCAGGTATCTCTTTTTAACTGAGGCTTTATTCATCTTTACATCTATTTGAAGGAAGCTGTCTGCCATTAATTTAGAGATACTTCAAGTTCAAATTTCAGCATTACTATGCGCACTAACTCCAGAGCTTTACAACCTGCTTTTTGTCAATAGTCCACACTTCGCTCCTCTGCATATTAACAATTTTATCCTAAATGCAATTTTCAAATATCCATCAAAATACCTGGCTTGAATATCTGCTTGTTCAGCTTGATAAGCAGATCTATAAGCAGCTCCCTGAACTCCTCATAAAAATGACCATGAAAGAAACAGGAATGAAAACCAAGGCTGTGTCCAACCTTCCTGTGGTTTACAAAGTGGCTGAAGACAGGCTGCTGCAAGGGAAGATGGTAACTTCCTAATCACCAGGGGAGAGCCAGGCAAAAGCCACAGATCAGGTAGGGACTGGAGAAGTGTCTATTCTGGCTAAGGCAGATGATGGAACAGCAGTTTTTCCACCCCCCCAACAGAGAAAATGAACTCTTGAAGAGCAAATAAAAAGTGGATGCATTTTTGCATATATATTTAAGATGCTCTAATATGAAACAAGATGCAACGAGTAGGTAACTTCACAGGTAAGAAAAAAAAAATCAAGCTGACAAACAACTTGAGCCAAGTTTTTCTTTCTAAAGCCAATTTATTTGTTAGAGTATGACTGAATTTTTAGATACTTGAGGATGATTGTGACGTACATTTTCAAGTTTATTTTTCACAGAGCTACAGCTGTAGAGGTGCTTCCATTTTCAGGTGATGAAATTTTGCATTTTTGTAACAAGTTTGGTTTCACAAACTTTTACTGAGAAACTTAAAATGACAAATAGGGTTACTGAAAAGATGGCCATTTGAAATGTTTATTTTTAAAAATAAGTTTGATATTACTGTGAAAGTCATTACTATAAGTGCCTGTTCAAGCCTTCACAAATATACTTAATGAAGTGATTTATGTAGTAGATATTAGGGCTTTTGGAAAGCTAGACATTTCATCTCTACTTCTCCCTGGAGCCCCCTGCATGGGTCTTTGAATGGAGAATTGGAAGACTCTCCTTTTCCTCAAATTCCATGAACACCAAGAATAAATGTGCTTCACACTAACATTACCAGCAAGCTATCAGTCATTTCTCAAATCGTATTTGACTCAATTCCTTCCTACACAAATAAAAAAAGTCCCCTCAGCTGCAGAAAATTTGAAAGAAAGAAGAAATTTGAAATTTCGTCAACAAAAACCTTCTAACAATGTGCAAACAGGCCTCTAGTGCCATGACTAATTATAATACGCAGGATCTGACACAACTCTTTACAATAATTGGTACATCTGGTCCCGTACCTTGTTTATGAAATAGGTTCAATTAGAAGTTGAGGTACAACACTTCCTTTCCCAGAAGATGTGCTCTTTAATTGTACTACAATGAAATTATGCATGAGTATGCCCTCCCTCTTCTTAATAGTCAGCCTTTATATTGAATAAAGCACAGGTGTTGACATTTTGTGACTCACAGAAGGCACATCAGTTTCAGAAATTTCTTGTGGTTACAACTGTGTTAATACAGATGAGCCAAAAGAACAGACTGTTTAAACCAGTGAGACGCAGTATGACATTACTTGCATTTCTCCCATAGCTGAATGACAATGACTGAAAGAAACTAGAACGAGTCTGAAGAAGAAAAGTGGATTCCCAAGTGATAACAAATTTTGACTGAAGCACGCTAGCTGACATCATGCTCTGCTGCTTACTGGGTCCCAAACCGCAGCATAATGCTCACAGTCCTGACAAACTGGTTGAACACAAGTATCTTCGTTATCTTTCTTCCACGACTTGAACCACATTAAGACAGAACTAGAATAAACGCCTTCCTAGTCCCGAGAGGTAATACTAAGGGGAAATGCTGCTGAAGCAGAGGGGAGATGCAAACAGAAAGCACTTGGAGTAGGAGGGCAAGTGAAACTCGTTGAGTGCTGCCACTTTCAAGCCCGCGATGCTATGGCTGCCCAAGCGCTGTAAAGCTGTGACTCGGGGAAGGCAGGGGACTCTGGAAACTTTCAGGACTGGAAGTTTGGAGGTGCTCGTCCGTCAAAACTGGGCAAGTCAAGCTACTTTTTCCTCAGCAGCTCCCCAGATAGGGAACACGGCTCCCTCTTCCTTGTAAGGAGAGGAGACGAGAGCGAGCGGTGACCGCCCGACCGACATGCGAAGCCCGGGGATGGAGACGGCCGTCGTCAGACGTGACAGGAGCTGCCACGGCTGCATGCTCCAGCGGGGCCACGCTCTCCCCTCCCCTTCCGCGCTCCGGCGCCAAGGCTCCCGCGGGAGGCGGC